TAGCCGGACGAGATGCCAGAAAGGCACCGAAGGGCTAACCACCCCACGCGACGCAGTTGAGCACAAACACGACACGACGCAGCTGAGCACAAACACGACACACTACCATGGGTCATCGTTGCTGAGCATGGAAGCCAAGCTACCAGCAGCTCCGACTTCCCATGGCAGGCCACCCACTAGTCACTCCCTGACGGGTCCGAAGCTAATGGCCGCCACCGGTCATCGTTGCCAAGCTCAAACACCGAAGAGCAGCTCCGACTTCCAAACGCAAACCATCGCCCCGCATCGAAACCGCGACAATAATCCAAATGCGACGCCTTCAGGAAGGGAGTGACGCCAATGGCGTCACCGTCACATGTCCAAAGTGGACTGAGTTTTCACCCTTGGAAGACATGCTAGTGGGGAAATACGACGCCCCCAACAGGGAAGCGGCGCCCAACAGCGTCGTCGTCGCCAAGGCTTTCGCCCAAGAACCCTCTAGCACACTCGTCGGGTCATGAAGCCAGACCCGTGCCAGCCTTCACCGCCATCGCCGTTGTCCCGGCGCCCCATGGAAGACCCTTAAGAGGGGCATCGACGCGCTGGCTGCACGTAGCAGCCGCACAGCTGCGTCGGCTGCCACCCCCTCCGACCGGGCCATGCAGAGTCAGACCTGACTCTGCCGCTCACGTCACACCGCCGCATGCCGAGGCCGCATTTGACCAACGTCGTCGGCTTTGGCACCTGCCGATGTCGCTGCCGTCATCACTGCCAGTGTGCCCCACCATGTCGGGCTCTACCCCATGTCCTGGGGTCACCAAATCTGGATGCCAGGCCCCGAATCTGGCGCCCCCTGCCGACGCCGACGCCTCCATCTTGACCATAGCTACAGACACCGTTCGCCTTGGCCGCCAGACCGACCGCCACGGGCAGGCTGGCTAGCAGAGGTCGCTGCCCCAGGCACAGCCAGCCCCTGAGCCGCAGCAGCCAAGGCCATGAGGGGAGGGACGGCAGAGAAGAAAGCACCGCCCCCAGCGCATGCATGGGCCCCGGCCACTGCCGTCGTCGGCCGCCAAGACAGATCCGATAGCCTGGGGTTCGAATCTGGCCCCCCGGGCACCGGATCTGGCCGACTGGGCCCCAGACCGGCGGCCTCAGCCAGCGCCGCCGCCGCCATCAAGAGAGAAGGGGAACGAGCGGAGAAGAAGAAGACCTCGCCGCCGTCCCCTGCGCCTGCACGGACACCAGCTGGCGCTACAGCAGACACGGCAGCCACCTCGTCAACCTCCACGCTGGTCGTGCGGGGCCAGACCGCCGGCCTGCTGTAGGTGCGCCGCCAACACGAGGAGGGAGAGCCCCGCCGCCACCATCACAGCCGGCCGGGCGGCCATGCCGGCAGCCCGCTCCGGTGGCGACGCGGCGGGCGAGGAGGAGAGCGGTGAGAGGGAGGCGGCGTGGCAGGGGCCGCCCGAGTCACCCCACGTGGGGGAGCGACGCGGGCGTCAGTGGGGGAGACGATTATAATTTTTTCAGATAGAGTTTGTGCTAGAAGATTCAGGAAGTTGACATACCATTTACATCTTCCATAGAACCTTTCCACAACAGGGCAGGCTGCAACATCAAAGGCGGGCCTTTGCCAACCACTGAGGCCGTCTTTGATGTTGCAGCCTGCCCTGTTGTGGAAAGGTTCTATGGAAGATGTAAATGGTATGTCAACTTCCTGAATCTTCTAGCACATCCTAAATGGTACTATTATACTTGACTAATTATTATCTATTTATGAACACTAACGATGTGTGTGCGCACGCGCATTAGAGAAACATCTATACTCAAACCAAAATGTGTGTGTTAATTTCTGTGCACAGGATTTGTTAATCGGTAACTTATTGCAGAGTGGTTGGCTATTTTGCTGTTGATATACCTTTGTAGAGTGGTTGGCCCTTACTGCAACCTTGTCTAGTCTTGTTCTATATAGAGATGAAGATGACCAAGCAACGAGTATCACTTTACGGGTTTTTTCCTCCATGAAATATGTCTTGGTCATGCAGATATGTTGTTCCTTTGAGGCTTTGAGCCATCTAGATTATTCTCCTGATTATTTATCATGTAGTTTTAGATACAAGCTGCTCTTATTGACCTTGTTATGTACTTATGTTATTAGCTACTTGCATTGTGCACATTTCTGATTGCTAGGTAATGGAACTTAGAGAATTGGTGTGTTTATTTCTTATTAGTGTTATTGGAACTGAATTCTAACCCCATGTTTTTTCAGGTTTCAGTGGTAAGACTAGATAGGTTCACTACAACAGTTTATTATTTGCCCACATTTTGATCACATTTCTGTACATGCAGGCTCAAAGATATGAGCTGATCATTCATGCAAGGAGTAGGGGCGGGAGCTGGACAAGGAGGCGACTGATATGCTCTGAAAGCTAAAGCTAAAGATACTGCTCGTGGATTTCCGCAGCAAGGGTCGCTTCGTCTTCCTTGCACGTCGATGTGTGGCTTTCGTCCAGGTTTCAACGTAGTGACCTCACCTTTCAGATTCTTCCCCGGTACGTGCTGTTCCTAAATCTTGTTTCATAGGTCACTATCGAAATCATGTTGTCTAATATAACACAACAACTTATCATTGCTATTTTTATTTCTCACTCCTATGTCTTCTAAGATTTTGTTTCAAAATCATTACATGGTGGAAGCGGATTATAAATTATGTGAAGTGCCTCTGCAGACCAAATGTGAGCATTGCAGAACAGAGCTCTGTAAACATGACATTTCAACTTACTGATTGCCAAACTTATTCACTTTTTCTTGCATTTATTCTAGTTTCAGATCGTAGCAGGGATGCGAAAGAAGAGTGGTACACCACATTTGTGCATCAAGCAAGGGAGTTTTCTGAAGTGTCCAAGAATACTGCAACAAGACATGACTTGCTTCCTTGTTCTTTTGTTCTGGCTTACTATCATGTAGGCCAAACACTAAGTGCTGAATGACACTTTTGTGTCCAAGTCAGGATCATTTGATGTCTAAGCTTTAGCCATAATCATTTAGCACAAGACTTTTAGTATATGTCTATATATGTCTGCTACTAGCTCATCTATATCCTGGACTTGTATATGCATGATGCCATATGTATCGTGATCATCACTTGCTATATATCTGATTGATGGAAGATCAAATATATTATATCTATGAAATCAAATGGATTTGCTCTACATGATGTATTTGTACAATAGTTGTCTTCTATATGTCTAAGAAAAGTTTTTATATTTTTATGTGGTACCATGTTTTACATTATCTTTCCTATTCATCCTCACATGCAATTCTATCTGGGTTCATCAATGTCTATGCTTCCGCTTCCCTACCTACCTTGATGTTCGTATGAAAGCCGAGTTCTCTTCTCACTCCTTGCTTCTCTCTTTTATATCAGAAAAGATATTAATTAGCTTGGTTAAGCCAATTGTCGTACTTGCACTGATAGATGTCGATCCAACACGTAAAGGACAACGTACTCAAGCTCTGTCGATCTGTTCGCCCGCTCTTGGATCGATGAGACTAGGAAAGTGAAATTGACGCAGGACTAGGGGAACGTACTTTGTCACGCGCCGATTGCTTTCAAGTTCAAGCTAATAAATAGCAGTGGTAAGCGCTCTGAACTTTGCAACCCAGAACTTTGCGGTCACAATTTTGAATAGCAAGCGATATTACAGGCCCTAATTGCACGTAGCAGTCCGTAGTAGCGTGGAAGCAAATAATATGTGTCTTTGCAAACTCTTAATGTGATAATTTAATGCGTGGAACACCATGTTTGTTTTATTAATTTAAATATGTGAGACATCAATTCTTTGAGTGTAATTAAATGTCTATATATACTCATTATTTATGATATATATATATTTAAAATTATGTGAGATTATTAAGTGCTATCCACGGTCCACTACCTCGACGCAATCCACTGTTAACTTGCTATACGCTATTTAGGCTATGTTCGTTTCTCTTATAATCCATCTTTTATAGTTGGAACAGTGTTTTTCTCTCGTAATAAATCAGTCGGAGCAGTGTTTCAGCTTATTTTTTCAGCGAAGTAAATGAAGCCTTGATACCTGGTTCAAGTTTCAACTCCAGGGTCCGGACGTCAGCCAGCTCGTCATCATCTTCCAGGGCCTTGTTTAGATTGCCTCAAAGTTCCAAGTTTTTTCACTCTCTATCCATCACATCAATTTTTGGACGTATGTATGGAGTATTAAATGTAGGTAAAAAAAAGTAACTAATTGCACAGTTTGGATGTAAATCACGAGACGAATCTTTTGAGCCTAGTTAGTCCACGATCGGACAAAGTTTGTCAAATACAAACGAAACGTGCTACGGTATCCAGATTGCAAAAATTTGCAATCTAAACCAGCCTTGTTTAGATTGAAAAAAATTTCAACCCGATGAATAGTAGCACTTTCGTCTTATTTGGTAAATATTGTCCAATCGTGGACCAACTAAGCTCAAAAGATTCATCTCGTGATTTCTAACTAAACTATGCAATTAGTTATTTTTTTTACCTACATTTAATGCTCCATACAAATAGCTAAAAATTGATGTGATGAAGAGAGAGTGAAAAAACTTGGAATTTTGAGGGTATCGCCCAGGCACAGGAAGAATCGTCGTTTGCGGGCAAGCTGTCGTTTTCGTCTGCTCGCTCAGAGACCACGCACGGTCGGTCGTAGCCACGCGGGTACCCGAGGGCCAGGGGGCAGGGCCCACCGGCAGCAGCTCAGACGTGGAAAAGAAGAGTCGGGTACCCGAGCGGTCGGCGGGGATCAGGACAACGACAAAAAAAAAAACCGAAAAAAGAACAAAAGGGAAAACAGGGGCAGTGGGTATCCACCCTGGCTTCCTTGGCTTATAAGCAAGCTGTCTTACATTGGGAAATTTGGGAGCCTCGAGCACTCGAGGCCTTGGGCGCAGCAGCTACCCCTTCCATCATCCACACCACAACCCCCTTCCTGCTCCAACCCAACCCAAACACGATCATGGAAAGCGAAGTCACCGCCACCTTCCCCGTTGGAGGGGACGACCCGATGTTCACCACCGGCTCCACTATGAATATACAGACCTTGGCACAAATCCCCGATTATTGCAACATGGAGGATTTGCTACCGCTTGATGAATCCGCCGGCCACGCCCCGCCGGATCCGCAATCCGCCGGAGACACCAGCCACTCCACCACCATCCCGTACCTGTGGAGTCCTCTGTTTGGTTTCAACATGGAAGAGATCAACGCTGCCCTCACCTCTACTGCCGCCGTCAACGACAACATCCTATCGGTGGAGAATCCTCCGCGGGAGCCGACCACGCCCGTGGTCAACGTCGGCCTCGCCATGCCGGGGCCGGACCGGGATCCGTACTCCACCGGGGTCACCAGCTGCCCTTCCGCTTCCGCCGCCGCCGACACGGGGAGCAGGTCACCGGATCTGGAGGTCAACGCCGCGGTCGGGCTCCCGCAGTCAGGCGGCGGCGGCGCCTTGACGGAGGCACCGGTACGGGCATCCTCCAAGAGGAAATGCCTCAACTCGAGTTCGACGGAGGCCGACCTCGTCCGATCGGACCCGTCCTCTGCCTACGTCAACTACCCCACCGGCATCGACTATAGAGGGATCACGAGACAAGAGCGCTTTACAGACATCAAGCCTCCCGACGGCAGCACCCCTTTCGACATCATACAATTCCTCAAAAGAGCATGGTACAATTGGCCCTGTTAGCTTCTCTTACGATCCGTCTTTTACAGCTGGTTCCGAAATAACATTTTTTTCTGCCAACGAATCAGCCACGACAGTGTTTCTCTTGTTTTTTCAGCGCAGGGTACTGGACCAAAGAGCGTCTACTCATAGCACCTATCAACCGCAGCCTCGCCGAGCAGGACCAAACGGCTCCCGAGGCTCATCGGAGGTACGTCACGAATATGCCTATGATGCCCGGGCGAAATAAGAGACATCACGGAGCGGGCGGGTACTGGCTGGAAAAAGCCGATCTCGAGGTGGTGAGGAAAAGAGGAGGCAGTAATAGTGTGTGGAATTACATCGTCGGGATTAAAAGGACCTTCCAGTTCCACACGAGCAATGGCAAAGAAACGAACTGGTTCATGGATGAGTACATCCCGACCGATCATTGGGGCATGGACCTGTATTTTGGGGTAAGGATCGCTCGCATACTGGCACCAACCTTTGCTATGCTTTACGCTTTTAATTACCCTTGGACTTGTTAGTAGTATATATATGCTATATTTTTCAGATACATTTAGTCAGTAACTCTAATCAAAATAAATTTTGTTTACTCTCTTATTATTTTTCTACTAATACACAATACCAATTTATTTAGATACTTCTAGTCTCATTCGGGTTGTGATATATGTGTGCTTTTACTTGTAGGGGCTTCGCTTTCGCGAGGTATTCGAACTGGCAGGTACGCCCCTGAATGCATAGCTGGTCCCAGAGAATATACTCAAACTTTTTGTTAATTAATTTCATTTCGTTTTGTTTCCATGATCAATCGTACATGGTATAGAATTTGTATACCCACCAAGTATCAAGAGTAACATCTCTACTTTTATTTGTCTGTTCTATCTAGGTAAACAACGGGTGAATATCAACAATAGAATTGCTGATGTGAATCATCGGAAGCGGGGACCTGACGACCCCAAGGTGGTGAAGGGAGAATCAAAGGCCTGGCAGCACTTCATCAAGATATATGACAGGCATCCTGAACTCGAGGGGTCTAAGGTGGTGTATGCAGTGTGCTGCCATTGCGACGGGGTGCTCAAAGCCGGTACCGAGAATGGCACCAGTAGCCTGTTAACGCATTGCAATCGTACTTGCCCAAAAAGAACAAGAACCAGCGGCCAATAAGGTCGCCAAGCTAGCAAGGAATCTTTGCATCCCGTACTCCTTCGTCCTGTAATAAAGTGCATTTTAACATTCAAAATTTGTCCTAAAATATAATGTATTTTAGAGGACAAAAACTAATATTGCATTAAATACTTTTCATTTATCAATCAATCACCATTAATCACGTTGATGATAGCGTCTGATTAGGAATAAAATAAGGGTACATGTGTCTTTTGTGTTCTCTCTTAATTTGTTTTAAAAATCCTAAAATGGGTTGAGTAATAATTGAAACTAGATGAATTTCTCGTGTGTTACCGTGGGAATTTAAGGTTAATTTAGGTGACCGTTGACTGAATGCTATGTGACTTCTTTAGTGAGAATTGCGTATGCACAAATCCCACGAGCGCGCGGGTGCCCGGCCGAGAGATCACTGTGCTCGTGTGGGATTCGAAACCAAGACCGCATGCATTACCTCGCGCAACCTCTCCAACCGAACTACACAGCACATATGACTTTGGATGGGATGATTTCCTTTTGAACTTACCCGTCGGAGAACTTTTAGTCCGGGTTGGTAACACCAACTGAGGCTAAAGGTCCCCTAATGCCTAGGAAACTTGGACCCGGGACTAATGCTTACATTAGTTCCGGGTCCAACTCTAGCCGAGACTAATATGCTGAACCGAAAGTCTTCTTCCTGCTAGTGACCGGAGTCTTAGTAATAGTGCATGGCGGCAAATTGCACTCACTAGAGAGTCACACCCTATTTTTTATGCACTTTGAGCGTTTACACACATCGGAGCTCTTCAATGGTGCTTCGGTGAGCATCCGGGCGACCGGGTACCCTAGAGTCTACCGTGACCCGGGCGTCACTGACAATGGTAAGAAGATCAACTATGAATTGAGTCGTTTTGTGTTCGAGGAAGTTGCTGACCTGTGCACGCCGGGAACCCGTATGTAGGCTAGGAATAGGAGGCCGGGTACCCGGCATATGTCCCAGAGCTAGTAGCTGACCACGAAATACAAGTATTTCCAGATCGAACCCCAAATCCCACGAGCGCACGGGTGCCCGGCCGAGAGCTCACTGTGGTCGTCTAGCGGTGGGCCAGCTCGTCAGGTCATGGAACAGAAAAAAAGACGAAGGATACTAACGTGTTGCACGCCGCAGGGTACCCGGCTTGGGGAGTTATACTATCTGATTAGTTTAATTAGATCCTGTCAAAAACGCGACCCAAAACAAAATCGATGATGACCGCCGGCCGTGGCGCGGTCACGAGTCATCGCGCCCTTGCCCTGCCGGACGAGGGCGCGGATACCCGGCCGAGGAGATTTCGGTCAATAGAGCCACACCAGATGGTCCAGTCATAGACGTCGTTCTCGGTAAACACGAGCACGGCCGGGCACCCAACGTGTTGTGTATTTTGTATTGCCAAGTTGGCCAGTTGGGTTGGAGCCTGATCTAGTAGTTAACTAAGAGCGAGGCTGATAATTCAGCATGCTGTTGGTTGTAATGATATTTGCAACATATTTCTTAGTTCACCGATATATTAGTCAGTTCTTTATTATTAATACATGGTTCACTTATCTCTCTTACAAAGTTTTTTGGTTTTGTGTTTAAGCCAGATGTAAGTTTACGACCCGCTTCTCCTCTCTCCTCTCTTCTCTTCTCTATCTCAGCATTCAGCCGGCTCCAAATTAATTTATGATAAAAATACATTTTGTACTTAACCTAATGATATTTATTTGATATCATAAATATTATTTTTTTTTATAATTGATCAAACTTATAAAGTACTAAAACGTAACACTATGTTAGAATTGAATTTTTTCTGGGGGGAAGGGAGTAACTTTGATGAAGCTGGAATGGTTGCAGGTGCATTCCAGGCCTACTTCTGGGTAAGTAGCCTACAAGTTTCTGTCGCTGCTGATCGGTGGAAATCGACGTGGAGCCGGGGTACGACTTTGGAGCCGTAGTCCTTTTGTTCTGTTCGGGAAACAAAAGTTTAACGCAAGCTGAATATATATATATATATATATATATATATATATATATATATACACCGAATCCTTACGTGGCTGTCGCAGTCACGCGGGTACCCGAGGGCCCACCTGGCAGCGGCTTAGACATGGACCTGTATTTCCAGGTGGTGGAATGGATTAGTCTGCCTGGTGGATGGACCCTCGGGGACCCGAGCGTCCAGCAGAAAAAAAAAACGAGGCCAGCGGATACCCGCCCCGGCTTTTTATACATGTATATAGGGAGAAGCTATTCTGTAGCTAGGTAAAGAATTGCTTATTTTGTAGCCGGACCAAGTTACCGCACCAGACACACCCATCCGTGCCAACCGGCGCAAGCGCGCGAGCATTTACCGGATCGGGAGTTACTGCTGGGTAGATGCCCGGCGTGATTTTGGATCTGGCGAGCTGCCGCGTGCATGCATGTAAGAAATATAGTGGAATGAGTGGTTACGAGAATACATGCATTACCATACCGAGAGTGGAATGAGGTGGTGGAATGGATTAGTCTGCCTGGTGGATGGGCCCTCGGGGATCCGAGCGTCCAGTAGAAAAAAAAAACGCGGCCAGCGGATACCCGCCCCGGCTTTCTGTGTGTGTGTGTGTCTATATATATATATATATATATATATATATATATATATATATATATATATATATATATATATATATATATATATATATATATATATATATATATATATATATATATACTATCTTTTAGCTGGCTATAAAATAACTTATTCTATAGCTACTTTGAGTTACGATAATTACTATGTTAATTTACAAGATTATAGTAACTCCTTACTAAGTGGTTTACTATAACGTTATGTTAAATATCCTCATATGTTATAGTAATCCAACTATCGTAAATATGTATTGACATTATCGTAAATTAGTATATAAAATTATCGTAAAAGGAGGTGGCTACAAAATAACTTATTTTATAGCTGGCTACTGAATATACTCTCCATATATATATATAACTACTACTACCCTGTAGCTGGCTACAAAATAACTTAGTTTGTGGTCACTTTGAGTTACGATAATTACTATGTTAATTTACGATATTATAGTAACTCATTACTAAGTGGTTTACTATAACATTATGGTAAATATCCTCATATGTTATAGTAACCCAACTATCGTAAATATGTATTGACATTATCATAAATTAGTATATAAAATTATCGTAAAAGGAGGTGGCTATAGATTAACTTATTTTGTAGCTGACTACTGAATATACTTACCATATACATATATATATATATATATATATATAACTACTACTATCCTGTAGCTGGCTATAAAATAACTTATTCTGTAACCACTTTGAGTTACGATAATTACTATGTTAATTTACGAGATTATAGTAACTCCTTACTAAGTGGTTTACTATAACATTATGGTAAATATCCCCATATGTTATAGTAACCCAACTATCGTAAATATGTATTGACATTATCATAAATTAGTATATAAAATTATCGTAAAAGGAGGTGGCTACAGAATAACTTATTTAGTAGCTGGCTACTGAATATACTCTTCATATATATAACTTATTCTATGGTCACCTTGATTTACGATAATGTTTGTACCAATTTACGATAATGACAATACACATTTACGATACATGGGTTACTATAATTCAAGATGATACTTAACATAATGCTATAATAAATCACTTATGAGGAAGTTATCATAATCTCATAACTTATTCTACGACCAGGCTACAGAACAGTGTATATATATATATATTACACCTTCCTCTGGGCCTTCCTTCGACCACAGCCCCCTCCTCTTCTTCCATCTAAAGAACAAACAGCCTCCGGCTCCAACCCAAATCAACATGGAAGCCACCTACCCGGTTGGAGGAAACCAGCAATCAATTCATCACCGGATCCCCCCAGCCCCAGGTCGCAATAAACTACTTCCAACAGGTGCCCGCCGAGTACACCGGCCGTCGAGAATTTGCTGGATGACTCCTCCGCCGGCGTCACCCAGTCGGATCCGCACTCCTCCGGAGACACCGACTATTCCACCGTCGGTTATTTGATGGAAGTCGTCGCTGCGGCCAGGCAGCGCCAGCCAGTCCTGTATCTGTCATGGAACACAGTATCCATGCAACGTAGATAAGAGGATAAACATCTTACTTAGATGAAGAAACTGATTCCTCTACTTCGCCCTGATGCAGTTGCGCCGTAGCCGCGTGGACGCCGGTGTCGTGGGAGCTCGGCGCGGGGGAGTCTAGTGTAGCGGTGGCGATGCAGAGGCGGCGGTGACGCGAGGTGCCGCGGTCTGGTGGTGACGGTGACGTCAATGGGTCTTCCCGTCGCCGGGTTAGGTTTAGCTATTGGTGGGTCATGGTGGCTCAGGTCAACTTCGTACTCAAAGCCGCCGGCCCTCACCTCTATAAATTGCGCAGTGTGACGGGGGCCCTCCAGCCATAGTGGGCTGGGCGCCTCCGATCAGGGCACGGATCAAAGGCTCAACTGGGCCGTTGGGCCCAGTTTGAGATTAGAGATCAATCTAATAATTTCTCCCTTGATCTCCTACCATCTTTCAATTTTATATTATTTACTTTTGTTCATTCCATTACAGATTAGCGCATAGAGTATGTTTCATCGTCACGGTCAATTGCCGATAGATTTAACAACTACAACACACCACTCTGTTCTGAAATAGATACTTAAGTTTGTGCCTTCTTTTGTCCAGGAATTATAGGCTTTCCCTTAAACCCATGCCGGCTACATGTTCTCTGAACACGTTAGGTGGTAAGCCTTTTGTAAGCGGATCCGCGAGCATCTTTTTGATACTTATATACTCAAGACTTATGATATGATCCCGGACTTTATCTTTCACAACATAATAATTTATGTCAATGTGTTTGGCAGCACCACTTGACTTATTGTTATGAACATACTGTACTGCCGGATTATTATCGCAGTATAACTTAAGTGGTCTATAGATGTCGTCAACCACCTTCAAACCGGGTATGAACTTCTTTAGCCAGTTCACCTGCCCCGTTCCCTCATAACATGCTATAAACTCGGCATACATTGTGGATGATGTAGTGACGGTTTGCTTTGAGCTTTTCCATGAAATAGCTCCCCCTGCGAGAGTGAATACATATCTAGACGTAGATTTTCTATCATCTCCCGCATAATCAGAATCTGAATATCCCACTATATGGAGTGAATCTGATCTTCTATACGTCATTATGAGGCCTTTCGTTCCTTGCAAATAACGCAAGACTTTCTTTACTAATTTTTAGTGTTCTGTTCCAGGATTGCTCTAGAATCTGCCAAGTAACCAGGTAACAAATGCCAAGTTAGGGCACGTACATACTTGAGCATATTGCAAGCTTTCGACAGCTGAAGCATATGGAACCGTTTTCATTTGATCGATCTTATACTGATTCCTAGGGTATTGAAAATCCCCATATCTATCGCCCTTGACTATAGAAGCAGGTGAGGGACTACATTTGTGCATATTGAATTTCTTTATGTTCTTTTCTATATATGCCTTTTGTGACAGTCCTAATACCCCTTTACTTCTATCTCGGTGAATCTCGATCCCTAGAACGAACGAAGCTTCACCAAGATCTTTCATATCAAATTTTGAGGACAAAAACTTCTTTGTCTCCAGTAGTAGACTTACATCACTACTAGCAAGTAAGATATCATCCATATACAGGACAAGGAAGATAAACTTCCTATTTTTAAACTTTGCATAGACACAATTGTCCTCTACATTCTCTTTAAATCCAAAATTCCTTATTGTCTGATTAAACTTCAAGTATCACTGTCTTGAATCTTATTTTAATCCATAAATGGATTTCTTTAGGCGGCATCCCATTCGTTCTTTTCCTTCCATGACAAAACCTTTCGGCTGTGCCATGTAAACATTTTCCTCCAAGTTCCCGTTGAGAAATATCGTCTTTAC